AATGAGGAAGCAGAACATTACTTTAAATGTCACTAGAAAATGAAAATAAAAACTGTCTGCAAGGATAATTGGGCAGAGCTATTCAGGGAACCTCTCACAAGGAGACGAAGGGGGGCAGAGCCCAGTGCATCTCCTTATGACAATAAAGCCTTCCAGCTTTTCCAGACATCCTGTGAGAGCCAGGCAGATCAGGATAAAGCCACCAGACTGCCCAGCTGTGCTGCTGCCTTGGGGTGGCCCTGCCGCCCATCAGCCCTCCCCGCAGCCAGCTGGGCTTGCACCCAGATGCCACCCAGACAGCAACATCATCAGTTCTGCAAAACAAAATCAGCAGAGCCCGCCTCATTACCTTGTATATACACTTGTGTAAGTCGCTAAGAACTCCCTCCTCCTCCTCCTCATCCTCCTTCGTGGTCTCCTTTTCCTGAGCGAAGAGCCGCCGCCTGCCCGTCTTCAGTGGGACATCGACCTCTTTTAACTTGTTGCGGAAGCCATTTTTGTGAACCACACCGTTGATGAGTCCATTTTTGGGCTCAAACCGGGGCAAGGAATGGAACTTGTAGGCATTCTCCGAATGTCCCTCCAAAGGTCCTTTCCTCTTCTCCAAGATTTCCTTTTCCAGCAAGACCTCCTTCTCCAGTTTCTTGTGCTCCTCGGGGGAGAGGGAGTCATAGGAGAGCAAGTACTGGCAGTAGGCTTCTTGCAGCTTGGCCAGCCTGTCCTGTGCAGTTTTGGGGATGCGCAGCATGTCTGCCAGCTTGTTCCATTTCTTGAGGTCAGTCACTTGCTGCATCCCCCCCATCTCGTTGATCAGCTGGACGAAGCAGGCCAGGTCGAGCTCGCAGCCTCCTGGGTTCCACGTGTGCCAGGCAGCAGAGGAGGGGAAAGGGAAACACAGGAGCAGGTTAGGAAAGCTGCGGGCGGCTCGTGTCAAGCACGCAACCAGGCTGGGCACATGAGGGATGTGCCACCCATACAGCTCTGGTCACCTGGGCACTGAATCAGGACTGTCCCTATCTCATACACCTAAATGCTGAAGAGAGGTGCATGCCACTGTTTTGCTAGATTAATACGTTCAGTAGATCATATTTTGCTATTTGCAATAGCCCTCCCTATGGTTAAATTTGCTCTCCTCCTTGAGTTTCATTCCCTTCTCTTCTCAGAGCACCCCCAGCTATCTCCTGACATGCATCTCTCCCCTGGTCGTTACCCAGCGGTCAGGGAGACAAGAGTTACCCAGCTCTTTAGAAGCCTGCACACTCCCACCCTCCCTTCACCGGCCACCAGTCCCACATCTGGTTTGTACCAGGAAGCAGCAAAACAAGTGCCAGGATGGGTACTAGCAATCAAAAAGACAAGCACCTATCCTTTCTGAGGTGAAACATCAATTACCTGGTGTCTGTGCAACTGAATACAGTCAGTATGTAACAGGAGCACAGTAACATCATTAATTTCACTAAAGGTAAAAAAATCCTTTAAAAAAAAAAAAAAACAAGGGAGATGAGGAGTTGTTTAGGGTTGGTGCCTGCAACTGCATAAAAAAGTTCCAGGAACATTATTCTTCCAGTTTGAGGCCATCCATATTTTGTACTCCATTATGGTTTTGTATGTTTTAAGATGACCAGCACATTTCACACTCCAGTCAAAAAATAAAAATGGAGGATTATACAAACTGCAGCATAAATAGCAGCCAAATGGATGAGGAACAATAAAAGAAACATCATAAATACTCTCAAAGCACAGACATCAATCATCAGTAGAAAGAGTGAAGAAACGGACCAAAGACCACCTACAATTCAACAGGGCACTGCTGAAGGAACAAAGAGAATTAATACAAAACTCGCATCGACATTGCTACTGCCACATTGTCTCTGCTTCCCCTTCGAGAAAAGTAAAAAATCATTATGCCACAGCCATTTCACAGCACGCAGAAATGCTATTATACAGTAGAGAAGTGCAGGAAACAGTGTTATGGTAAATATTTACTGTTGGATGCACGGCTACAGCACCTCCAGGGCCAGTTATATCATCTTGCTTGCTAACGCAAGCAGTATTACTTTCTTCAAACTACCCCGTGCTGCATCTCAGACACCTCAGAGCTGATCCCAATTTTCCTTCTTCCCTCTCCTTCCCCCTCTTCCACCACTTGTGCCAATCCTGTGCAGAGGGAGGCTCAGCACTGTAAACCTGCGTGCAGTATTTCGGGATGACAACGGCTGCGACCGAGGCAGAGCAGCACTGGAGACTGCTCGCTAATGCTGCCCAGTGCAGCGCTGGGCAAAGGTGTGAAAAGGGGGGAAACGGTTTTGGCTGTGGCCAAAAACAAGGGTAAGGTTTTGAGGAGTATATGACAAGGGTGTAGGCAGCAGATATAACCAATTGGTAATTTTTGGGGGGAGTCAAAATGGTTAAGTCTTGAAGCTGAGAAAAGGCCAACATTATTGGAAAAAACCCCACAACTTTCAAAGGTTTTCTTTCTTTACTCTTTAATCTTCCCCATAAAATAACTTTCAAGCTGGCCTCTGTTACAGGCTGTTGCTTTTTTGGTCTAGTGTTTTATATGCGCAGTTCACTAATAAGCTGAAGGCATAATTTGACTTTCCATCCCAACAGATTCAGCGACCTACATAAAGTTGTGTAACATACTCCTAACTTTGACAGAAGCGTGGTCCGCGTTTAACGTGGTACGTGTTCGTGAGTGGGACAAATAGTGCATACCCAGCTTAAGGTCCTAGTTTCAACACTGTTTATGAGCTATTTAAGAAATACGATTTTCTCCTGCATCACGGAATGAGCGCTCATAATCACTTTGCAATATTAGAGCTCGGGCAGCACATCATTCAACCAGAGCCTTGCGTATCTGGCAGATCCTCCATAGGCCCAGCTACAGCTAAGGTTTACAAAATGGTCTCAATTATAATTCCATTTCACACAGTCATAACTTTTGGAAGCATTTATATCTCAGGCTGATGCTTTCCAGGATTTACCTAAGCATGTTGCTTAAAGTTTCGGGGGGGGGGGGGTTGACCCCTTTTCGGTTTAACCCATTTATAAACACCTACAGCAAAATGGCTTAAACAGGACACCTGGCACATGTTATGCAGAAACAGCATCTGATTTTTTTTTTTGTCTTAATTTCACTAAATAAGGGATGTATTTCAATGGCCTAGTGAGCAAGCTCATTTAAAAAAAAAAAAAAACAACTTCAATCTTCCGGTATGTATCTAATACCAAACGCCGGCACAACACAAGCTGTTGGCAGAACTCCCACCTACTTCAATGGAAATGTGATTGGGCCCTGAAAGGAGGGATATGTACGCATGTCTGCTTCAATAAGTGCACCTTTACCACCGCAGATTATTTTACATCTTTCCTGCTGGAACCAATAGGTTTCTCATCTTTGTACATGGATGATCTCCAGCTTCTTTTCCCCATTTTGTTTTTACTTTTAAACTCAAGATAGGTAGGAAATTAACTGCAGAAAGGATACATAGGATGCAAATTTTATAAGAGACCACTGTTCGCACTGGCTATATGGCACCCAGCAGAATAGAATCTTTGCCTATTAATTAGGCTCTTAGGTGCTTAAATAATACAAATAATTAACAGTAATGCCATCTTAATGCCAAGTTAAGGCATTTCATTAAAAAGTTAACGTTGTTCCAGGAGCGTTAATCGAGCTGTCTTGCACATTTTCCCCTCTCTCTTGCCAATGTAAATTTAATTCATTATTCTTCTCTATTAGCATACAACCATTGCATACATTAGGCATACAAAATGTTCACTTATTGCTGCTTGAGTGATTTTAATTTTCAGATTTCCTTTAACATTTTTACACAGCTATTGCGCTAACCCTCGTTCCTCCTCCTGAAATTCTGTCATCTCTCTGTTGTGCCCTGCATCGGTTCACCATAAACCCTGCAATCTCTGTGTGCTTTTATGCATTTTCACTCACTCACCACATGCAATATAAATTAAAGTTTGAAAATGGGGAGGTGGGGAGTGCTGCAAACAGTTTAAACAGAAAAATGTGGCCTTTAATCCAACTAGCATTGATAGCTGCCTCTGATCGGATAATGCCTCAAAGGCAAAACACTAGCCTCAAGTTGCAACATGCAGGTTCTGTGAGCTTTGACTCAAAACACTTCAAAAACAAAGGGGAGGGCTAACAAAAATTAAAAACACAAGTTTGTTACTATGTCATAGCTGCACAGGCAGTAGAGATGGAGGTGGCTCATTCAATAGTTCATTTGTATGCTGCTGTTGTCACGTTTTTACAAACTATTGTCACATTTTTGTCACATGTCATATTTGACAGCAGACCATAAACCAAGAATTCTGTTAAATAAGTGATTCTCACTCAGGCATTAGCCCTGGCAGACACCTGCTGGGAGAAATAATGAAACCTCCATTTTGCAATCAACCACATTTTACTGCCTATTCTTGACACTTAATGGTTGTTAAATGTCAGCAGGTCACTGCAGATTTGTGATTTTAAGTGTCTGAGTACCCAAATAGAAGTCAGTTCCGAGATATTTTCTTTCCCCCTTGGTTAAATGCTTCTAAGAGAAGGGGAAAAAAAAAAAACAAACTTGTATTCAAGTTTGGTAGCATTGCAACCTGTTTGGAAAACATAATTGGAAAGGTCTGAAAAATATTCTGAGGCAACACTTCAACCGAAGCTATCAATATCCGCAGCTGTACTACCTACAGAAATAAAACAGCAGGGAAAGGAGAAGATCCTGAAACCTGGAGACTGAGACCCCACGCAGCATTTTTCTCCCTAGGTGAAATAAAGAGCTGGCAGGAGGAAGGTGGCGATATAAAGTCTCCCGGGAAAGCTCTCTGACAATCCACCTGCATCGTGCCTGATCGATGCTTAAAGAGAGAGATCCAGTGCTCTGCAGCGTTAATTGAACACGGGTTCGGTTAAGCACAAAGGCAAACTGAGCATAAAGTTGCATACGGACACTAACAAGCAGCGGCAAAAGGCCAATGAAACCACAGCCCTTACCTATGAGTGGGAGTTCGTCCATGGTAATGCCCTGAGATTTGAGGTGCTTCTTGATACAGGCCAGCCGCTGCACGTTGGGTCCCCAGCGCCTGCCTAGCTTGTGTATGTGCTGAATCTGTGTCACAAACCGCATTTCATCATTTAGCTTGCACTCAGGTCTCCAGTCTGGAGGAGGAATCACCCTGCACATCCCATACTTCTCTACCTGAGCTCGGACTGACTCAATGTATATCAGTGGGTCATGAAATTCCTTGGTGGAGGGCCTAAGGATGGGAATCTCCCCCAGCATCCCCCACCCAGACTTACTACTGCCCTTTTCGTGCTTTCCCATTGAGTCTTGTGGCTTGTGCAAGGACTCCGCTTGAGAGGTAGAACGATTTTCACAGGAGGCATTTTCAGTTTTGCCATGTGCTTGTTTCCCTGGCGTACTCTTTCCAGCAGTGGCTCTTTTCGGCCTATTTCTTTCCAAACTCTTCTCTGGCACTTCCTTTTTAAGGTGTCCATTCAGCAAAGGCTTTTCTACAGCTGCCTTTTTGCTGACAGCTTCTGCCAAGTTGACGGCCCCTTTCATTCTCTTGGTGGGCGACTGTGTTTTGTCTATGTGATTCATCTCTTCCAGCCTCCTCTTCGAATTGCGCAGCCCCTCCCTTAACTGTCTCCCCACCTCCTTAGTGCATGTCTTTTGGTTCAACTTGCCATTGACTTTTACACCATTAACAGCGGTATTGTTAGACTTGGATGCTCCAAGGGATAGCACCTGTTTGCGGGTTTTTGCATTGCTACTTTCTATTTTCCCTGAGATTGTGTGGTTGACAGGTGAACTGGGTTTGTGGTGATTTAGTTTGGTTTCCTTGACCAGTTCTTTCTTGGCTTTGGTGTATGTGACAGTTCCCTTTGTCACTGTTGCAGTGTACTTCACAGTTTTGGACGGTGAAGGTCTGACTTCTCTCATCTTTTTGGCACTGGCTGCATTTGCACTCAGAGATGACATTCGAGTGATCCCGTTGACTTTAGAAACCTGCAATGCCAGGAGTGTTGCAGGGGAAGCAGAAGGAAGGAAACAGAAAACAGAAAAGTAAATTAATAATGGTACCACTCAGCCACAGCATCCCAGTCGCTGGACAACCATATTCTGCACTCCTGACTCCTGGCCCCTTTGTACAATCTGCATAAAATGGATTTCACCCAGGCAAGAGGAAGGACTGGGCATTTATACAAAAAATTAAATAGAAATATGTCTTAAAAACAAACTAAAAAGTCCCCAGAAAGCCAATCTTGCTTTTGGAGGGTATGAAGCCTCTGGCATTAAGTAGGGTGAGGTCCCTTGCTTGCCCTACTCCCTTCCCTGTCTACCAGAAAGCCTCTTACAGTATCACAAAACACAGGTAGTCTGATTGACAAACTAATACTTTCATTAGCTCCTTTCATGGCCCTCAGACACTAGCTCTCCCCCACCCAACTTGCCTCAAGTGCACACATAGTTTACTACCCCTTAGCAGACAAACTAGCCAGTGTATACTATCTACTCTAACTGGAATGGGCATGTTTTGCAAAAAAACACACGCTGAGATTCAAACCAACCTCCTTCTCTATACATACATAAAAAAGAGATACTGAACACATTATGCACCCAACAGATCAGGATGGCCATGAAGGATCCAGTCTGTCATACACATTAAATCTTGGGAGGCATCTTGTTGCTGAAGTCATTATTTGAAATAAAAATGTAGACAGTAGTTCAATACATTTTTTTGAAGTTTGATATCTGGGCAGTTTTGCTGACACACATTTTATTATATCATATTCATCACTAATGTGTCATCGCAACTTAGAGTTGCTAAACTCTGCTGCTTTCTGTTAAGACATTTAAACCTAGCTATGAAACTAAAATTTATATTTTAACTAGAAGACATTTTAAGCACTGAAAGTAACCCTCAGCTTCGAAGGTAATTGTGACAGCTCAGCACTGTCAAAGCTAACCCCCGCTACTAAGAAAATGAAGTTCAAGTTCAAGCCTCAAACAAATCTCAGCATTTAAACAAGGGTAAACATTGTCTTCTCACCTCCTTAAACTACTGTGTGTGCAGAAAAACACATCAAAAAAAATCATGAACATTGATAAAAGTGCTCGGAGTGAAAGCCTACAGCACAATCACCCCTCCTCATCACTCAGGTGAATAACACCCTTCCTGCAAAGTTACAACACTTCCCTGCGGGATTTCAGAATACTTGCCAAATTAGTAAGCATAGCAGCTTCCCTCAAACACATGCAAGAATTGTAGCCATTTATAAAGGACGGACAAAATGTTACAAAACAGGCATCAAATAGAGACTGAAAAGATCATGCTATGGTCACTATTGAGTGACTTGCAGACGAGGAACTGGAACCTGCATACACACACACGGATGGGTATACACGCATTTACTGCGTGCATTTTCCCTTCTGTGCTCCAGAAGCTGCAGCAGGAGATACGCCCTTTTAAAACCCATCTGTATTCTTGTCCTTCCTGTGCTTCCAAGGTAGAAACACTGAAGGAAAATCCAGTTAACTGATGACATGAGTTTTTACTTCCAGCTTTTCAAAGACATATGAGATATCATCCAAAAAGCAAACGCTACCTAAAACGCATTTAGCCATTTCTCTTGAAATTTAGCCAGTACTCTGCATTTGAAATGGAGGTCTGGGTTTGACTTTCACAGTGCTTTTTCATGCCACAGAGCAGACATGGGCAGACAGCTGCTGAGACATTGCCTCCTGCCTGCAGCAGTCAGAACAAGGGTTGAACATCTCTGGCTTTATAAATAGCCAGGAACATCGATTACAGATTTCATCCAGGCAAACAGAGAAGAATTGATTGAGAACTGGGAGGGGAAGGTAATCTGGGTGACAGTGATTATGAAATGAGTTTTCAATTCCAAGACGCGACAACCATAGAAGAAGGACAACAGACTTAAAAAACCCCAACAACAACAAAACAAACACACACACCTGTAAAAAAAAAACAAACCAAAGCAATTCCCACCCAGAGGAAGGGCACAAAGCACGGGCCGTTCGTTATGCCTGTTCACAAAGTTCTCTAAGGACTGGAAAATTAGAAAAGAATCACAATGAAGAGTGGAAACACAATTACGTGACTAAGTGCAACTATATAGGAATAGCAAAAGCATGCACGGGTAAAACCAGAAAAGCCAAGGAGATAAAGAAACTTCAGTTAGCAAAGGACATAAAATGAAACAGAAAAACTTTTATAAATACTTTAAAAAAACGATGACAATAAAGAACAGCAGAGATCAACCACCATACAAGGAAGGAAAACAAATGTAACAGTTTGGCTAAAGAGTTTATGCTTCTCTTGCATTAGCCTTCACCAAAAGTACCACTGACTGAATACTTACCAGACACGTAACAACCAATTTCAGCAAAAGAGCTGGGAAGGCAATCCCAGCAAGCGAAAGTGTACCTAGATGACTTAGGGCATGGCTTCTGGAAATCAGCTGAGAGCACGCAGAGTCTACCTAACTTCAAACCCTAAAATCATTCTGAAACAAATCACTAAACAGTTGATTTGTAAAACACACAAACAATGATAAGATAATGACAAAACCAAAAATAATTAAAAAACAAAACAAAACCAGAAAACCCCACCCACAGTTTTGCCAAAATAGCACACCAAGCTAATTTGATAATCTTCTGACAGACACCTTGCTGAGCAGGCAAAGAAGCACCTTCGCTTCAGTAGGGCTCCAGTCCCTGTCTCACATGATTTTCCATCAAACAAGCTCCTGAGACACATCCTAGACTAAATTACTCTATAGTGGCTTCACAAGGGATTAAATAAAGTCATCCTCAAGAGAAATTATCGTCATAGTTCACTGCCATCCTGGGGAGGCATTTCAGGTGACTTTCCGCAGGGACTTGTCTTCGCCTCGGTTCCACCACGTATTTCCATCAGTAACGTGGATGATCGTAAAATTAGCCAGTGACACACACCTGGAAGCGGCTGTAAGCACTCTGGAGACAAGGTCAAAATCAAAGGCAGTCTTGAAGAACTTACTTCAGAACATTTCTACAATAAGAGAAAGTGCTATTTTTAGGAAGAGAAACAGGGTGGAGTAACATTTGGGGACCACAGTGGGTTGCAAAATGCAGTGGTAGTACAGAGCACAGAAATCCGTTTCTGAGACCTGTTATTAAGAACACAGAAAGCACAGTACGGGAGCACAGGTTTTCTTATGCAGAGCTGGACCCAGCGTTGCGCCCACACTGCAAGAAAAATTCAAACAGTGGAGCAAGTCTACAAGAGCACCAAGTGCTCAGGTATTTGGAAAATATGATGTTTACTGAAAAGCCAAGGGAGCTGGGCTTCTTTAGTCTGAAAGAGATGACTGTGGGACAATTCCCTAACAGTCTTCTGATGCATAAAGAGCTCCTCTGAAAAGAGACAGTCAATACTCTTTCCACCTTCACCAGGAAAAAAAACAGAAAAAAACCTTTAATTGTCTACAACAACGATCCAAAGCACAACTAGGAAAATTTTCTCATTAGTAGAAAAGGAAAATGCTGGAAGAAGTTGTCAATGGATGTTGTAGAGTCTCCTCTACAGGACGTTTTTCAGCAGGTTTCAAGGAAGCCATAGCTATATTACTGTGCTTCAAGGTACAGTCAAGACAACACCGCAGAGTGAGCAGTCAGGCTCTATGGAGGTACCTTGTCACTCCAGCCTTCCTAGGACTTTTTTTGAAGAAGTTGTGACCCGAAGTCTGAAGGGCCATCCAGGGCACTCCTTCAGCAAGGGGTGGTGACACAGGGCCTGAGAACAAAACACGGTCATGGAGAAAGTGCTCAAGGAGAAAGGCAAGATCCTCACAGCTCCTCCTCTTCAAAGAAAAACATGCCATCAGCACCACCAGCTTCAGGCCAGAATTAAAACTGCCAAGATATAAAACTCTGGAAAATGGAATTCATTAACAAAACATCATCTTTTGACAACTGTTTAGATTTGTTAGAATACCTCCACACAATGAAAGCTTAGATCTCTCAGGGCCAGATCTTGAGCTGAACAGGTACATAAGCTTTGGCTATCCTCCAATCCTAGATTACAAGCACGCTATTTCGAGTTTTTATTCAAACTTCGTGAAGTTATTCCAATGTCAAACAGGTCCCAAAGCAGAGAACACTTGGCTTTGAGAATACCATAAGGAATTAGCTTATTTATTTCTGATTGCCAACTAAGGAGACCCCACAAGAAAGAAAAACTGCTGAAAACTTCTTCAGGACCATCATCTTTCTAGAGCAGACACAACACAATGTTTTTGAAACGCTTCTCCTTCTTCCCTCCCCAAATGACCACTGGTATCTCAAGTTTTTTCAGAGAGGATAGCACAATGTTTAAGATACAGCAGTACTACATAGACCGGAACGGACCACGCTTCAAATGGGAATAGGCTGCAGCAAACATCTTCCAGTGGGAAACAAGCGGAACAAACAACGTGGTCATAGCCTACCATCAAAGCAACAGGTGCATTCAGGATTTCACATTGACAAATGTGAAATTCTGGCTGGTGAGTCATCACCTACACGTTCCTGGTCTGTACTTGTCTCTGAGGACCCATCAGATGATTGGAACCAAAAGAAACAAGAAATTGTGGGAGGCATTTTCTTACCTTTCTACTGTTGATATGTCTCCCCCCAAACCAAACATACACACACAGAGTCAGCCTAAAAAATTGGCCACACTGCCAGGTGCGCAGGTTCACCAAATGGGGGTCTATGCCACAGCTCCATTCCGAGGCAGTGCTTACACTGAGCGCATAAGAAAGAAGTCAATTTAATTCAAATAGTAACAAAGTGATTGACATTAGCCTTACATGACTCAAAGCCTTGTGCTAAAGGTGAAACTAGGGATACAAATAATCTTATCTTTGCTTTTTTATCTTTGCTTTTCAGCTATCTTCTGATGTTTGCAGATGTATATTTGTCTTCAGACCTATCTTCTCCACTTTACTGAACGCTTGCCTTGCAGTAGAATACGGTACAATAGCTTTTAAGTTTTGTTGTCTTTTAAAAGTAAATGGGACCAACACATAGGCTTACAGCAGTTTGTTTGTTGGATTTGAACTTGTCTACATACACACCTCTGCACAGCACCTAGGATCCATCCTCCAGGCACATACACGTATACACACACACACAATAAAGCCAACAAACAACTTGTTCGATAACAACCACAGTAATTACAGCAACATTAGCAACACCAACAACAGTTTTGGTCCCAAACAAATTGAAGTTATGTAAGTGACCTCGAATTCATTCAGAAAAATAGTTCTGTGTTGATATGAGTTTTGCAGAGCTAAATTACCATATTAGGCCGAGAGAGGGCCCCATTGAACTACATTTCCTCGCCCACGGCCCCTTTGAAGTGGGGGATTTGGGAAGATAGCAAGGGAGGAAGAAAGAGAGGAACACGTGACAAGTGCATATGCACACCAGGAAAGGAGAGAAAGAATGAGAGGAAAAAAGAAAACCTCCAGTGATTTCTCATGTTCTGCCTTTATTTTCTGTAAGACTGAACAAAACAAAAACACGCACATAAATAAACCATGTAAATGCACGTGAACAAGGAGGAAAAACATACTGGAAGGAGGAGGAATATGTGGCTGGCACCCTGGGAAAATAATTCTCCTCTTGGAAAATACTGAAAATACCAACGAATACTCAGGACAAGGGCAGAAAATTTAGCTAAGTCACATAACCGGTAAGTCTAAGGTTCTGCACAAAGCTAAATCTTTCTGTCAGGCAAAATGCATAATCCGCAGAAACAGAAATTTAATTAGTTACAGCCACATTTTCATTAAACTTGGTAAGAAAGTACTCATGTTACTGTGGGTTGCATAAGAAAATTTAAATGCCTAACCTTTTTTTTTTTTAAAAAAAAAAAGCCACCAAACATCATCTCAAATTACAGCCCCCTTCTTTTCTGAAGCTTGAGGACCACACTCTGTGAGGTGTCTCTGTAACGTGACTGTTGCTTGCACTGCATTGCTTCAGAATTTCTCTCCATTTTGCATAGCACAACTGAAAACATCTAATACTCTACGAAGCAAAACCCACTTGGATCGTGGACAAAATTCTTCTACACCTGTCTTTTCGCTTCTCAGAACTACCTTCACAAGTGACAGCAGCTGACTTTCACGAGAATTTTAACCATACTTTGATGATACAACTTCAAAGCATTTCACACAAGTGCTTAAGTGAGTTAAAATAGTTAAATATGAAATGCATCTTTATATTTTGAGAAACCTGTCCAACATGAAGAGCTCATGGCAGAGCACATCACAGCAAGGACCGTAGGATGCTGGTAGTCACAAAAAAACCAAGAGCCGAAAGGATGCAACAGCATTCATGCTGATGACTAGATAAGCAAAAATTGACACAGGCAAATAAAGACCGAAGTCTTACAGAGGTACACAGAAATATATCGTAGATAGCATTCAGGATCTCAAATTTGATTTAGAAGGTGATACAAATCCAGTGGAGGCATTTCAGGAGAAGCTAAACATCATTTAAGTATAGGGCATGGAAGATTTCCTCGGCAAGAGCACAACTGTTTTACTTTTTGCCATTTATAATGTCAAAGCTTATGACTAAGAGGGGCCACTTTAGGCCTTGATGGCCCTATAAAATGGCAATTCCAGCTCCACTGAAATCCAGGCCAGTCTACTTAGTAGAAAAACTTTTAGATGCCAGCAAATAAAGAGTGTCTCTAATTGGCCTGTTGAGAATTTACCACTGAAAAACAAACAAACAAAACCCCAAAAATCCCATAAGGTGTAAGTGCAGCGAGCTTTCTGTACTACACTGGCCTCGTGCAGGTACCCTGCTAAGGCAGCCCCAGACTGAATAAGGACACTGACTAGGGATTTTGAAAGTCTTCTACAAAAACTTCTTCGACAGCTGCTATTTTAGAAGCCCTTTGACCTGACCATCAAAAATAGATGGAGATGCATCCTGCCCAAACAACAGTCACAAGCACCGAACAACCAGTCTGCTTAACTTCCGCACCCAAATCCAAGTCAGGCTGAGACAAACCTCTTGCTGGGTTTTTTCGCTGGTTTTCTACAAGGTCACATGGAAGTCTGAATTTCTCCTCACCTGGTACGTCCACTGTGAAGGAGGCAATATCCTGGAGCACCTCCTTTATGCATTGGGCAAAACATTTTTCCCGACTCCGAGGCGTGCGCTGCCCACATGCAACACAAGACACTGAGCGTAGCGCCAGCTTCTCTACAGCGCCCGTGAGCCTCTCAGATAACCCGAGCAGACCAGCCGTATACAAAAGGAGTTCATTTTTCCACATGCTGCCAGCCTTGGCACTGTCAGCAGAGGCGCCAACAAGAGTGCCAGTCAGAAAGGTTTAATAAATAGCAATGTGAACTTTACTCTGTCGGATGGGTACACTGTGTACTATAAAGACAGGGTTGTAAAGCATGCTTTATCATGCTGACTTCCGATGTACGTAGCACTTTCCTTTTTTCCTTCTTTCTCTTTTTCTCTCTCTTTCACTGAAAATTAACTCCCTGCTATCTCCAGAGCACACTTTTAAGGATTGCCATGTTCCTTCTGTGCCAGGCAGTGGAAAACAGAGCTAGCACCTTAAAAGTCTGCATTTCCCATGTGTCCGCAGTGCAGTACAATTCATTACCTGTTTCCTTAAGTCCTGAGCCGCTCTATGAAGAGTGTGGTGGTTGTTAGCAGTGAGCCCTTTCGTAGAGGAGCCAGTGTTTGTAGCAGGATGGTGATTAGCAGCAGCCTGGTCTTTTCGGCTCTCAGCCTTCTGTTCGCTGTTCCTCTCCTTCCCTGGTGTGGCCTCTTTGCTTTTGTGTTTCTGAGCAGGTTCTTTCTCCTTCGATGATTTGCTGGACCCATTGAAAACTGAGAAGAGAGAAAATCAGACTAGTAAGGTAAAAAAAGAAAAAAAAAAACCTGAGCCTCATATGCAAGACCAAACTCTTCATTCAAAATAACTCAACATTCTCTGCTGTCACTTCTTATATCTAAAGTAAAATTAACACAGAAATAGAAGCACTATTTTGCATATTTCCTTATACGAACAGATTTACTAATGTATTTCCTTTGCTTGTTAATGCACATTCTCTTTAACATCCAAATTAAAACTTACAAAGTATATTACTGTTTTGATTGACCTAAATTTAGACTTGTCAGTTTGATTTTATTTATGACAGTTTTAATTAACTTTTTGCTGTTGCAGCGAGGGAATTCTAAACGTAATCTAAACACAAAAAGGACTTATTTTTACATTAGCATAAAAGAAAGAAAATGTTTCATGAAAAAGCATGTCAGCAAGCTGCAAATAGAAAAAGGTACTTCTGCAAAGAAAGGAAAATACTACAACCGTAGTGGAACACGTCGTATAAAGTAACGCTGGGACCCAGGCTGATCACCCTAGCCTTCTGCTAAAGTGAAGGAATAATAGAGCACAGAACAGAAATTGTATTTTTTGTACAATAAATATAATGCAAAGGTATACAAGTCTATCTCAGCAAGCTTTGTTCCTGTTCCTCTGTTGAATTTATTTAAGAATAGTCACTGTTCTTTTGTTGTCAGGGAACATGAAAAGCTACGGTTAAAAAAAAAAAGTCACATTTCTCTGTTTGTTTGTTAATCAAAAATGTGGTGAATTTATGTCAGTGCTGCTCCATCTTCAGTGAAGCACCTGACAGAGGGCTGTGAGGCTTGTCATCCAACGCCCGCAAGGGCAAGTGCTCTCCTGCTTTCTCTGCACATCTGCTCTTGTACCCCTGCCTTCTCTACTCATCTACTCTTGTATCCCTGCCTTTTTTGCCAGTTTAGAAAGGATGTAAATAAGAAAAGTCAAAAATACTTATTAGCACAAGTATCTAAAAATCATATTTATTACACACAACACACCTCATCTGTTTGGGAATATGAACTAAATGGATTAAGTTATTATTTTCTCATGAAATGAAAGCCGCCTTTTGTCACTCAACATGATGTACCTACAATTGCGAAGCTTAGCCCTCTCTACAGATGTCCTCTAGTATTACAGTAGTAGTAGCAGTTATAGTAATAATAATAAAGGACCAACAACCCTGCCGGACAGGAGAGAGGCATCTATGCTGCTTTTGAGTAGACACCTACCTCCAAACCGTCCCAACCAGCTATCTACCCTTCCACAGCACCTCCAAAAGATGAATCTCCAGCAAGCCATTGACGAATTTGTTATTCAGGTCACTTAGCATATTCAGTTGGTCATAAGCATTGAAGCAGATTATGTAAAAACTAAAATGCAATTGCTCTTCCTCCTCGTTTCTCTCCCTCTCGCATAAATTGAGAAAGAACGAGAGAAAAGCCTTCGGCAGCGAAGTAACCACAAATTCCCCTGTGGCTCCGTCACTCCTGAGCTCAGGAGCAACTGGCGCTGCCCCAACCAGCCAAGGTTCTCTCGGGGATTTCAGTGGAAGTTGCGTAACCTCCGTGTCTCATTTCCAGTGATGGAACTGCTAATAATTGCCAGCCCCTCTCGGGGAGTTCACGACAATACATTTATCCTCCTTTGTAAGGAGTTCTCACATCAGATGGAAGCCGCTATGGACGCACGAAGCATGACTATTTATTTTTAATAAGACATGGCACAAACAACTGATGGCAGCTTCGTTAATACATATTTCATCACCGCGAGTGGTATTTTCCTTCGGCAGGAACAAATTGTATATACTGATCTGCTTATACAGAAACGTTGTCAGAGAGATTGGTTTTCTGTATTCAGTTGCCACTTCCATAAACCGAAAATTACTAAAACAGAAAACACAGCCAAAAAGCCAAATTGTGCACTTTTATGGTTCACCAAAAAAAACCCCAACGAACATGAGACAAGGTGTATTTTATATGCAACAGCTCATTAATTTTAAGTGTCGTGGGAACCCTGCCAGTTTTACCCTCTGAGTAATTATCTTTTGTCTTAATTTGTAAGATTCTTGAAAGGGGGAAGAGAGAAATGAGAGAGAAAAATGTTCAGTCTCACAGGAAAAGCTTAAAAAGCTTAAAGCCTGAAAACACAATAAAAAGGGAGAGACATAGATGCAAAACAGTCCTAGTCAAGCTGCCTCTAGTTAAACAGTAGATGGTACTAGTTTCTACAAAAATCAGTGTTTGTTTCTATGAACATGCAGAATATTGCTATATCCACCTAGATAGGTATAAAAGCTTTTCTGCAATAAGAAGTTCTGCAAAATTCACAAACATATCACGTAAATAACCATCAAAATGCTAACCTGACTAATTACAAAACACTATCATAGCTAAGCATTTAAGGAGAAAAAGAAAATCCCCTGGCCTATGATTTTGCTCCCATCACAGTGAAAATGTAGAAGTTATTTAGACTTAGTACAATACAAGATTAAACTCTGGCCCTAATGGCTAGTAAGGACAGCTCAGTGAAAAGGTGAAATCACCAGGAAAGACCAAAAAGTCCCCCAAGAAATCTCATTGCTGAAGAATAACTGGTAATAAAAAAGAAACATCCACTTCTCAAAGAAAACCAATAAATCCCTCCAAAACCCAAAATTCTGCATTAAATATTACTGAGACCAATTGTGATTTAACAATAAAATCATTACTAATTCTTTTGTGCCTTCTTATGCAGCAAATTGCATTCTCCTTCATGTCTGCCAGCTCTTCGATATTTCTGAGGCATTCAGAAAAGCAGAAAAGTTGTATCTTATGCTTTACTAAGTCCAGATACAGGTATGCCCCAGCTACAATCGTACATTCTAGAGATAGCTCTGATCGGCACAATATCCAGTGTTCTGCTCCCAGTTATTTTTTTTTACTCATGAAACAGTAGTCAACAAAAGTTTCATCCTTGAAGTAATAATTTCATCCAAAAAAAAAAAGGCAGGAAAAAAGTGCCCAACCCACACAAGTGGTGAAACTCACACTATTACAGCAGAATTTTTTTGCAGTCTTGAATTATGATTATTTTATGCTACGTTAACCAGCTCTATATTTCCAGAACAGCTTTTAGTTTAAGGTAAGAGCACTACTAGCAAATAATTAAAAGTGCAAGTAAATTATTAGTGTCCAGGCACTTCAACTAGAATAAATGGATATCCTTTTATCCATTCCTATCTGAATGCTCATTCTCAAAACGCTGTGCCCTCCAAAGCAATTATTGTTATTATTAAGCTGAAACAATAAGAGTCCCAGAGTGAAATACTTGTGGGTCTTTTGGTTAGCAGTGACGATCAAACACAAAGAAACTGAACGACTACATTCAAAACTCGCAAGCACTAGGGGTTTCTGGACCACTGACATAATTTATGGCAGCAGAGCAAAACCTTATGGCAGGCATGGTCCCCACACATGCATCACCGTGCTCTCTGCATCGGGGGAACTGGAGCCCAGGCACCAATATCCACCCCAGATCCCAGACAGGGACTTTGGGGTATCTCATTTGAAACTGTGATAAAGAATCCCTACGAAAACCAGTGCAAACTGTGCAAATCGTGCGTATTCTAGGTATAGCTATAATAATGGCTAAAAAATTTTTGATCAAGTAAACCCACAGATGTGCTCAATTACTACAGATTAACTACAAATTTGCACTGTACTAATCTGTAAACATTTACTGTGTTTTCAGCAATTTTCTGAGGTATTCCTACAAATTCATTTGCATACAAATATTTTATAGGATACATCCAGCCAGCCATTCAGAAGCCAATTTATAATACGTACAATAATCAGGCTTTCACTGTGTAAGCAGCAGAATTACTGGACTGGGCTCAGCCAACTGCTGACTCCATCGGCAAAGCGCTCTCTCCCAAGTCCTCCTGGATATTATTCCTGCACCAGATACGCTTTATACTGGAGATAACGGGGAAGTCTGCTGCAGGGACAGCAGAGTACTGATGTATGAACCCTTTTGATTTATTTGAGTGCCTGGAAGATAAAGGCGTGGACCATACATGTACACACATGTCACATGCTGCAGAGCTCACGCTTCGTAAAGCAAGTGATTGCGCATTCATAAAACTATCCAAAACAAAGAGAGAAGATAAGAGTGAAAGGGAAAAGTTTTGTTTTCAGAAGGAGAAAAGGGAGCCTTGCCAATGTTGTGAACCCGAGCCAGCTATTCCAATGCAAACCTCATGTTGTTACATAGATCATGTTTGCGAAGAGATGTAATATTAATCAACTTTCTGGCATTAAGTATCCGTTACTGTACAAAAACATTCTTGCTCTGGCTTTAATTCAGTTTTTAGTCACTGTGAAAACATTTATGTGGCTCTCAAACAGCCTTAAAGGACCCAGGCAATAATTCTTTTCCTCTCCTGGAAGAACTAAAACAACGATCCACTTCCATAAACCAGAGTATTTCAATACTGCTGACCGTTTTCCTTAAATGTTGGGTATGTTCAGATTTCTATAAACCATCTCCAGAGACAGAAGCTGTCTTCTGGAGTCCCCCCAACACAATCTGCCTACTCAGGGTCAGCAGTAAAGGCATACTTCAGGAGAAAAGGATACCACAACATCACATGAAAACATGTGGTACCGCTGTTTCTGCAGTCCTCCAGCCCTAACCCAACACTATGCAACTTGTCAGTGGACATGTCTGCAACAAAATTTCTATAGCTGCACGCTAACAGAAGTCAAACAGGAGAACTGTGGCAAATAAAGTGAATTTCTTTTTGAAACTATCAGTAACACAGCTCATAACCCCATGTGCCCAGGAATATATTGGGCCATTGAGAGGAGCATTATTGGTATGAGACACCACGCCACCACTTGCAAAAATTCAATACCAAGTGTCTCATCTTCGCACAAACTCATTACTCTCACTTAACCATTACGACACAAACAACATCCAAAGGGTCACCCTCTAAGCAGCA